GGACGACGTTCCAAAGGCTTAACAACCGGCTACTGTGTCACAAAAGAAAAGTATGTTGTGCGTGGGAAATGAGATTGTGGTTGAAGGGGAAGAATAAGCAGGAGGGAGGGACAAAGAAACTCAAAACATAAACGCCACTGAGGTCGGCTTCTTGCCATGTCAATAAGTGCATCCTGCCAAACGTGTTTCGAATCCCACCCCAGGAGCCGAGAGACTTCAACTGAAGCAGGTGGCCGAGTGGTCTGCACGCGCAGCTAGCAGTCAGAAGGTCACCGGTTCGAGTCCGTGTAAGGGCGGGCGTTCTCGTGGTATACTCAAACCACGCGTGGCAGCGAAGCGCCGTTACGGTGTACAACTGATACATCAATTCTGAAGTAAGAGCCTTCATTCCATTTGACCAAGTCATTGCTTGGCCACACTTCCTCTCCCTCCATCCACACCCCAGGTAAGCAAACAACGCAAATCCAGAAAGTCGGGGGCTGGAATACGCAACACGTGGCCAAGCCATCGGAGCGTGGTGCATGATATAACGATGCTGCTCTGGTCGATGGTAAGTATGCTTAATCAGCAACTGCCCCTTTTTACTTTTGTGCCATCCTGTATGTGGTAAAACAATACTCGAGAGAATGAATAAAGGAAGAAAGGAACCTAACAAAAGACCATGAAGATTGCGTTTCTTGTCCGCTTTCTGAACGGCATCACAGGGTATTTTCAAATCAGTCAGGTGGTCAGGAAACCGATGGTAGCCTTTCATACATCCCCAACTCCTGAACAGTAATCAGTGCATGTGACGAATCTGATTGTTATCATTTTTGCAATACCATCGTTCATTACTTATGGCCCTTCATATATTATAAGTATAACACCTGCGAAGAAAACTCTTTTCGGAAGTTCACTTTAGGCAAAGGTAATTACAAGATGAAGATAAACGTGACAGGGAAGCGAACGCTGGGGATGCGATTGGTAGGCATAACGAAGCCGATCAATAATCCATTCGGTACAGTCAAACCGCGTGAGTCGCGCCAGAACATTGCTGATAACATTGGAATCGCTGTGTAAAAGACTAAAGTGCTAATCCTACGCTGTAGCTTTAACAAGCAGTTCTTATCCGACGGAAAACACTATCGGCAAGTAGATGGAGTTGCAATGGGGTCGCCGTTAAGGCCGCTTTTCGCCGATTTTTTACTCGCAACAGTGGTGCATGACCCTATTAATTCTCTTAATCTCTATCTACGGTATATGGATGATCATCGTCGTTCACCGTTTATGACCCACGTCGATTCAGATCACTTACTGGACCAGTCGAAACACGCACATCCATCAGTAAAATTCACTTCCGAGCTGGAAAAGGACGGTGGATTTCCGTTTTTGGACGCTTTGGTGCGACGTCGAACCGAGGACTCACTTAAGAGAAGAATCTTCCGTAAGACAACCTGGATGGATTAGTACACACACTTTCTACGTTTTTTGCCCAGTAAGTACAAGAGAAACCTTGTGGGTTGCCTGTACTATCAGGCCGCAAGAATTTGCAGTCCAGAGACGTTAGAAGCTGAAAGGGAGTTTAACGGCACTACGGCTATCCCGCTGCCTTTATAAAAAGGCATTTCGCTGTTTCTGATCAAATTAAAGCGACATCGGCTGCAAGAAAGATGGATATTTTTCTCTCCGTTTCTTTCAGGAGTTATATCACCTTTTACTTACTGAATAGGAGACTACCGCTGGCAGTGAGCCAAACATATCCGAGCGCTAAAGTTCATATTGTTGCTGAAACTCATCCGCTCATCACCCAATGCCTCAGTGATAGAATCACGGCTCGTTCCGAATTTTTGTCCTATATCAGTCCGCCTGCTCCTGTGGTGCAAAGTACCTCGGACACACGACCAGGCATCTATCTAGGTGGATAGCAGGGCACTACCTTGCCCTTGTGCAACACGGTAAGGTTAAGGTAGTTCGCAGCTCGATCCTAGAAAATCTGCTTAGTACCGGCTAGCAGATTCGGACTGAGGACACCATCGAATAATCTACACGACACCGAGGCGCAACCTCAAAGGAATCAGAAAGCGCTTGTTGGCCAACGCTGAAGCCATGGAGATCAGCCGAAAGTGTGCAAGCAGACAACATAGATACAATCTATCATGTTGCCGTAACCGTAATGTCGGACCGTGGTTACGACTGAAAAAGACCATTGTAGACCTACCGACCAGCGCGTCTGTGGTTTGTGCGTGTGTGCGTCTTCGCGCGATTCACGACGTCTGATAGTATCGATTTCGCTAAGTCAATCAATGGCATTGCGAGCGTTCGCTTACCTGTCACGTTTATTGTAGTCTTGTAATACATATGCTTGACTGAATTGACGAAAAGAGTTCTCTTCACAAGTGCTATGCTTCTAATACTAGCAGTGACCCAACAATACTCATTATTGTAGAGCGACGCGTACACCAAGGCGCCAGTGAACGAGATACATGATATCAGAGGTAACGCGGAGCTCAACGTTTTCTTGATGGCTAAGTACTACCAAATTGGCAAGTCAAAAGAATGCGACTCGTTGCGAAGCGGAAGGCAGCCGGTTCACACATGTAGCAGGCAGCACAGTCAACAAGTCCAAAACGAAAGCGGCTGCATAAGCGTGGACTAGCTGTGGGGACAGTAAGATCGTTCATCAGATCAAACTCAGTTCGATAAAAACGCGAGTAGGAATGATCAGAAGTCAGAGGACAGTCTGGTACATCAACGTTGCCAACTAACACTAACAATGCTTCGCAGATAACGACGATCAATGACTTGAACGCGCCGCAGGTCGGAGGGGCCAAGACCGGCTCCGATAAAGTAGGGCGGTCCTCATTGTGGCCTTCTAAACACGCACTTGCAAACGGAAGGAAATCCTGTTCTGACGCCACAGATGTCGCAGGCTCAAAAAAGCAGTTCCCCCTCCCGCAATACGTGAAGTGAATTCAGTCGTTATGTGACCATCATTGCCGCTGCAGTTGTAAAGGTAAATAAATCGAGCAATTGCCTCGAGTTCCTTGTCATCAAGGGTGAAGAGGTCCTCAAGTGGCTGGTGGTCCTGCAACAGCACTTTGCACTTCGAAGGTGCCAAGCGCAAACCAAATAATTGGACCACTCTGAAGAGGCTATTCAGGGTTGATTGTGTCGCCGCAACATCGTCAAAAAGCAAGACAATATCGTCCGCATAATCAAGAGCAACTAGCCTTTCACCAGAAAGGACCTCAACGCCTACATCGTGAGATTCCATAAGGGAGTCAACGAAGAAATTAAACAAAAGCAGGGAAATCGAACAACCCTAAGGAACGCCACTTGTTGCCAGAAAGCTAGCTCACAGATCACCGTCAACCCTGACGCAACCTGTAGTGTTCCATTATAGAGCACGTAAGAAGTTCACATCTTTCGTGGGAACACCTTTCCGCGCAAGTGTTTCGAACAGAATGCATCGAACTGCTAAATCAAATGCACTCCTGAAGTCGATGAATACAGCTACTGTCGATCTGCGGTATGCATGACCTGCCGCAGAGGGAATCTATGGTCTATACAGCCACATCCAGGGTGAAAATCTTCCTGCTCTTCCCTAATCCGAGATTCTCGTTCCACAGTGAGGCGACGAACCAGAATCGAGGCCAGTAGTTTTGTCACAACTGGTAGTAGGCTAATACCCCTGTAGTTAGCACAGTCTGTACAAACGCCCTTCATGTATATTGCCACTATGATCGATTCACTCCAGTTAGCCGGGACACTCTTCCAGATATGTTCGAATAGAGAGGTCAGTGCTTTGCAGAGGACCTACCATCATCCGAAAATAGTGGGTGGGAGGGAATCCGGGTCAGCAGCAGGAAAACGATCGAGGGCTGTGATCACGTTTCGGACCTTAGCCTACAATGGAGCCCCAAAACAAACCGTGCATGGTTCGTCCTGCATCACCTGAGTAGTAGGTCCAGGAGCAGGGGGACGACTGAACAGATCTTGAAAGTATTCCACACAACGAGCCATACCGCGATCTTCATTGCGTAGCAATGCACTAGCGCTGTCTCTGATTGTCCCACTGACGTCTGGTTTCCTGGGAAAGGTGATTCGGATCAGTTGGAAGAGCTTGTGATAATTGCCTACTTCTCCTGTTCCCCGTTCCCTACATTTCTTGAGCCCGACTTGTCGTCCACGCTTCTAAATCAGTGGGAAGGCTCCGCTTTATTTCGTGCCTGACACTCCGTCTGGTTACATTGTGCCCAGAGCTAGCCATCAAACTTGGTGTAGTGCCGGTGAATAATGTACACCGAGGAGGTCGGTCGACGGACACACAGAAGACATGATATAGCCAATGTAAGCGGTACAGATTCAGCGAACAACCGAATAAAGCACCAGAAGGCATCGTGCCAAAGACCGACTGGCAGACCTTAGCATTACTCACTCGGTGTTCCAGTCAGTGGTAAGCAATATTCCGCAAGCACGGCAAGTGTTTAATGTCCTAATTGCGAACTGGCCAGGTCTCCCTGACCCATACACCTTACTTTTCGATATGAATCATAGCAAAGATAAACTACCAATCCGGAAAAGCACCAAACGCGCGTTTTGCCCTATTATGGCTCGTCAGTGGTACGCATCCTTCAGTCCCCTACTGGGGATCGGACGCATGACTGCTAGAGTCTAAAGCCAACTAGCCAGCAGCTTATGCCACTGAACCATGGGGACGACAGCTGACTACCACCGATTGAAACCTAACTGCGATATAGCCTGACCAGTCATGCACCGCCGTGCGAGCCCCAGTAGGGGGCCGAAGGATGCGCATCACTGACAAATCCCGATAGGGCGAAACGTGCGTACGGTGCTTTTCTGGATTGGTAGTGTATCTTTGCAGCTTGGAATCTAATTGCGGTGAACCAAATAGAATCATACCCACAACCTACTTTTAACTGGCAGCTAAGTGTCGTAGTTCGAGGTTTACAAAGACAACAGAGTTGAATGTATGCATATAAAGCGAATCGAATGCTCCGTTAGTGGCACGTAAACTGTGTGGGCATTAATGTGGAGGAACAGTGGCGAGAGGGAACAACACCGGAAACGTGGCCAGCGTAGTCGGTGTGGGGGATGGGCGTGTGCGAGAGTAAGCTCCGAAAACAATGAAATCGAAAAGGGAAGTCAAAAAATGAGCTCACCCGGACCACGGGATAGAGAAGTGTGGATCGGAGAGCATACACCAGACGCTGAAGTTGGATCGGAAGGTGCGCCACTTTGGCCGAATAACGCTGCTTTAGATCGAGCACCCAAAAGAGCTGGTCGATTGACAAAAAGTTCACAAATCGCCATGGGCTTGGGAAGAAACCCAGTCGAGACCCGGATGGACCAGCGGCAGAACACAACAGCTTGGTCATACACAGCAATCGTTGGGACATACCATCAAGTTCAGACTCCACATCTGATCCAACAGAGTCTATGCGAAGGAGTGAAGATGTGTGCGGTGGTGTTCGGGGAGAATTGGCATCCGCAGTGGTCTTCGTTGGTTGGTGCGTTGGTGACGCACCGCTTGGGTGATCAGATGGTTCCATACCGCTTTGGAGTGTGCATGCATCCGATGTGATGGGAACATAACGGACACCATCCCGAAAGTTGGAGAATGATTTCAGTTGAAGAACAAGGTCGTGAGATGGAGTTAGATGGAAGAAACGAAACTCCAAGCAATTACGCGTAGCAGCTGTTAGATCTGACAGCAGTGATGGGAAGGGAGGAGGGAGGCAAAAGTTGGGTTTACAAAAGGACATAACAGGTTTGAAATGTCTGTGGTACGAGAAAGAAATGTATGGTATTTGAGATAACCCAAGCAAGAAGCGCAAACGAGAACTTGACGACAGTCCCATAAGGGAACACGAGCGCTTGAAAGTAATTCAATGTAAGCAATGTTGTCGGTATACTCTGTCGAGAAGTCGTTCACTTAGGAGCAGCTTCACACCTTCTAAGTCGCGCTGGGCGAACCCCGTTTTCATGACTTCATCAACGGTGAAGGTAAGGATAAAACGTGACATTGGGCAACCATGTCTCACACCACTGGATATATTTAAGAGCGGCGACAGCTTGCCGTAAACCCTCACTCGGTCCGAGCTACGCGAGTATAGTGCTCGGATAATGTTTAAATATTTCTCGGGCACACCATTCCTGTGTAGACGGTCCCAAAGTGCACATCGATCAACGGAATCGAAAGCCTCGTCGATGTATAGGAACAGAACTATGTTGGGTCGACAATAAACACGGAGGTGCTCCAACAATTTATGTAATGTGAAACCTGGACTGCTGTTCACACATTTGGCCATTAGGGGTGCCAGGACGACAGAGGCAAGTAACAGAGGCAATACAGATCATGCAGATTCCTCTATGACTGTCGTATTCGGAATGGGAGCTTCCCATGAAAATTAGGACTATTACAGAGCGCCTCCAGTCTGTCGGGACAGTCTCCTGCTCCCATAGATTCACTAGTAAGTTATGTAGATCGCCCAAAAAAGCAACTACCCAAAATTTGAAGAAGGCTAGAAGAAGTCCATCTGCTCCGGCAAACTTGTTAAACTGCAACCGCCTGATCTCGCGTTCGATTTCTGCGCGCGAGCGCGTATCCAAAGGAACGGCCCAGGGAGTATGGCGCTCATGGACCGATGGAGAAACTGGCAACTCTGACTGATTAAATCGCTTCTTATAGTGTCCGGCGCAACGCTCCAAGCATTTTGATAAACTGTGGATTTGCTGTCCACTCTTGTCGCGTATCGTCTAGCTAACACCAGGTTTCCTGCTGCCCGTTCACCTTATCGGAGGCAATAACTTCCGAGGGTTACAAAGAGCAGCGGCTGTCTCCATCTCCGAAGCACAATGAGACCACCACGCTTCGCGCTCTCTCTTCAGGCTAGCACGCAGTTTCGCTTTAATAACATTGATTGTATTCTGATTGTATTCGCTTCCAGCCGGTACACGTCGGAAAGCATCTATAAATTCCAGAGACTGTGTAGAGACCGAACGCCCAGGTTGGCGATTAGAGTTACCACATGAAGACATGTGTGCTGCCACTAACGTCTGTCTGACATGAGACCAGTGATCGTTAACTGTGTTCAATGCGATCTTACTCAGCTCGGATGACAGGACTTTACAGTAGATTGTAGCACGCAAGTAGACAATTAAAGTCGTAGTTCGCATTTTCGTCGGTGATATTAAGCCGCACGTGATCTAGGTAACTTGAACTAACTAAGACAATTATACTTGTTTTACTCCTAAATATGATTGTAATAGTCCGAAGATGAATCATTGGAGACAATTGGTGACCCAATGGTCCTGTGTTCTCGAAACTGAAGTAGGAGTTATTAAGTTACCCAACATGTAACTGTGGTTCACTTACGCAATGCACCTGCGACGATGACCGCAGAAAGGAAATAGCGGACCGTTAAGTAGCACCCACAAAGGTACAACAAAACTGAATATACCAACCTAGTGCGCCCACTAAATGCAATTCGAGTTGTGCGGTGCAAAAAGCGGCAAAGATGGAGTAAATACGTAAGGAGTAAATACCCGACAATGAATGTAGCGTCAGTAATTAGTGCTCTCAGCACTAATGAAATAATGACCCTGTCTAGATATTTGTCGCGATCCCTGAGCATGAGTCACAGCTCTGAGCGATTACCGAACAAAGAAACCTGTGAAGAGCCAACTGGGATGATAAGTTGGCATACAAACTCAAACACCGATCACGCACACACAAAAAGGGCTAAGTAAAGACGGATAAATGAAAAATCAAAAAATCAGTAGACAAAGAAGCGGTAAATTCCTTGAAAATGCGGAGAAGGTGGTTAGAATGAGAAGCGCAGATACCACCCGACAGCTTCTCATCAGTCAGGTAGAGGGAGATGTATTGGCACCAGGAAATAAGCAAAAACTGAGAATAAAGAGACATAACGACTTACTCCGCCGGCAACGGCAAGCTTTCTATCGGAACGATGCATGCAGTGTGCCAGTTTTAGTTGTGCTTTAAATTCCTAACCTCTGGGTTTCAACAACGACGTTTTATAATGTGACACCCGGATCGCATTCCAACGCAAGGATTCTGGTCCGGATTTCGGCATGTTTGGTGGGACTGCAAACAACCCACTAATATCAAGCACCATAGGTAAGCGACATTCGTTTAAATTTCTAACATTCGCATTTCAGTGTCGTTGCATGAGCAATAAAACGCTCAACGTCTTTCTAGCGGAGCTTCAAACAAGTACACCGATTATTGAAATGCGAAGACTGGTCAACAAACATTTCTGTGACCTAGGCAACTGTGTCATCAAAGTTTAAATCATGGGCACTCTTTGGCAAAATGTAGTTGAGATATTTGTCACTCTTGATAGCACAATCGTAGCAACAATGGTGCTAAATATGAAAAAAAACGAAAAATTTCGTATTCTGTCAAAACCTATTTCCACATTAGACTCCTAATAGTTCTACGGTTAGGTCCTGCCATGGTAGTACATTTATTGTTCGTTTCCATGTTAGTGTTCACATGGTCATGGGACGATGAGAGGCGAGTTTGAAAATAACCCATCCTGAGACAAATGAAACACGTATATTGCTAGGTTACTGACAATCAGAGAGCTGCGATGGTTCTTACCATATTTTTTCCATTTATTTTCACTACTAGCGACCCCATTTGGATAAAATGGGAGGTTGGCCGAGGTTCCATATTCTTTTCGGGCTCCTGTGACTGCGCGCTTCACACCTGAGGTTGCCAGGTACTTATTTTCTTCTCTCTTACCTGCATATCGCGGATGTAGTCAATTTATTATGAAGTAGTTCACATCGGAGTAGTTCGTCAACAATCTTGAACGCGAATCAATTATCTTCGTTGCCCACTGATGTGGCGCTTCTTTATTAAGCTATGGTGTATTATATCGAGGCATAAAGGGGACCCGAGAGTTAGGCCATCACTTTCACAAGGTGCTTAGCAGACTAATAGAAACTCAAACCCAGAAAAGTAAACAAAAGCGATAGGCTTATACATCAATAGATAGGTCGGTAACATTGGTTTCCATTCGTTAGCAGAAAAAGTAAACTGATTAGATTAGTTAAAATGAGATCGCAAGTTCAGGTGGTAAATAGTGGGCTCTAAATCATATAATTCTGTTGAATTTACTTGAATACTTCCCGTCTGGATAGTGGCCATGGTAGTCGTAACGACTGTAGCACTTTCTTTTGTACGCATAAGTCTGATCTTGTTAACCGTACGCATACCGCCCCCGAAGTAAAAACAAACCCACGCTTAGTCCATAGCTATGCGCTGTAGGTAGTTTGTACAAAATTTGGTAATCAATTCCCTGGTAACTCAATGAGCGGTGTTTAGGTAGTTAATACGCTGCCATTTGTACCGTATTTCTGGCTGTTTAACCACCTCAGGAGGTGTACCTTGGCTAGCACACTCAACTGCCTGGTCGTAAGTCTAAAGTAACTGGACCGTTCAGCGACCGATAAATTGGTCGATCGCTACTAATTGTAAATGATTGGGCCCCTGGTACTTGAACACTTAGTAGTACGCTCATAAATACAACATTCGGGTGGCCCACAGTATAGATCGTCTGGCACGTTGACACTAGTCTGTGTGCAGACTATCAGTAATGGTTCCTTTGAAAGATAGAGTCAGAAATAGTTGTTTCGTCCAGACCGTTTGCGTTTGCTTATGTACTGATTCGAGTATAATGAGTGTCAACGGAGCGCTTCGGATATCCGTTCTCAAGAAGGGTTTCCCTGATTCGCCTGAATTCGTCTTCAATGGCATATGCACTGCAGATGTTTTGCACAAACGATTGAAAGCTATGTTTATCAATGTATGAGCCTGCTGAAGTAGTAAGGGAAGGCTTTTGTTTCCCTTTCTACGGTCAATGAGATATGAGCAACTTTAAACGATCTGATAATAAAATATCGAGTTGGGCAGGAATACAGCGAAAAGTGACCAGTCCAGTTCACCGGCAGTTCGACTGAGACAATCAAAGTCGATCTTCCAATTATTGTAGGACGGCTCCAGCAGACGCGAGTAGGACAGCGGCAGCTCTAGGCTGTCTAACACCATAGAGTGGTCACTAGCTGCCAGAATCTCCAAGACCTGTATTTCATGTGCAAGTCGCTAGCAACTTGTTAAGAGTAGTTCCAGACACGATGGAGCCGAATGCGATGTAACGCGCGTTGGTTGGCAGACATGTGCTGCACCAGTTTCAAATACCATCGCAAGCTGCGCCTCGACTTCAAGGTGCCCGGGGAGAAGTTGAATCTCAAGCAAAGGTATTCGAGAGAAGTTAAAATCGCTCATAAGCAGGAAGCGGGGCCCACTCATATAGTTTCTGACAGGTGGCACCATACCTGTTCGCACAAACCATCTTAGCTGCGGTAGGTGTGTACCAGTCTCCCGCCTAGTGAGGACCGAAAGTATAACAACACGGCGCCTCGATTGTTTGAGGGTCTGTCGCACTGGAAGCACGAGTAGCCACTGACCTGGGGCTCCTAGGTAGTGACCATAAGATTTAAATAGGTTAAGATCAGTCCTAGGACGTCGGGACGACGCGGCGCAACGAATTGATATACATCGTCACATTTGTTCATTAAACTAAGAACATTTGTGGAGGCTACGCGCAGGCGACAGTGACGCATGAAGCGTCATCGACCTGTTGATCCGGGTTCGGTGGACCCGGGGAACTACCCGAAAATTTGTAATGTGGACATTGGTTCCTCCAATATCAGTCCGCCGTTTCGACAATATGATAGTGGACTTAAGTTTCTCTCTGTCTGACGCATATAAATCTGGAGGAATATGGATCTTTAGACCTCTTAGCCTACCGAGGCGGGATAGTATCAGCCTCGGACTAGTTGCATCAACAAACGTGACTAGCAGAGGCCGGGATTTCTCCTCCTCTCTCTTTCCAAGATGGGGGATTTGCTTCACACGCAACCCCTGTTCGTTCACGTCGAGAAGCATATCAACAGCGCTCTGCAGAAACCGCACGTCGTGGTCATAACGAGCCTAAGAACTAGCATCCGTTGACTCAAGCGCAGGAAATATCATACAGTTTCAACGCCGTTGATTGCTGTCAGTTACACTCCCTTTTTGACTCGATGCATTCTCCATTAGCCTTCATCGCCTGCGCTATCGCGCAGGCGAGATATTATTGTCCGCAGGAAGCAACACAGGCACACCAGTTGAAGTTCCAGCAACGAGTGGACATCACTCTGGAGAGCCTGCAGCTCGTTCGAATATAGAGGTGATTGGGTTTTCGCTTGACTGGATGAATCCACTGAGCTCCTCCCTACGGAATGTTTCGCCCGTTTTGTAGGTTCTCGCGGCTTATCTGGCTGTTTGTGACAGTACAGTGGCTTGGCATTTCTTACACCACAATATTTGGACAAAGCCATGCTGAATTTCACGCAGTAGTTTAAAATGATCTAAAGATAAATCAACACACGAAATGTGGAAATTCGCAAGACATATAAGGCATGTAACAGCATTGGCTCTATGCCCATCTATTCTGCAACAAGTGCCATTGTCATTACCGATGGCTCAGCAGATGTGACGGGAAAGGTGATAAATTGGACGATAAGTACAGGATATAAATACCACAGTAAAATACAAGGACACGACACAAACACACAATAAACAAATGCAGAAGCACAAGAGAAGCTGAATTTGACAAGAAGAAAGTCGAAAAAATCTGCTCCGCACAAAGTAATGAACAATGCAAACTGGCCTATCAGAGCGAAAGGCCGTCCGGCGAGTGCTATCCACAGTCCCTTGGCAAGCCGAAGCCAGCCTAGTGAGAACTCAATCCGTCACCGCCTTGGTCAGTAGTTCACCTTCGCCGCTACAGCTATTAGGCATAATTATCGAGCCAGTCATATTTTTCACTAACATTCTTGCTCAACACCAAAACTGCAGAATATTTGTTTTTCACATGCTTTACGGATACTGTGTTCGAGCAGTCGCAGATCTTCATAATCTGATGCGTATGCTTACAGTGGTATGCCATAAATTTTTTGAGGATAAAGTTTTATTTTAATTTTAAACCGGCTTCTAATACCCAAATTGCTGAACAGATTCAGCTTTGTTTGCGAAACAGCAGAAGTAGGCGAATGCATGAGACAAACTCAGTGAGGCGTTTCCAAAAACAACACAAATAAGAATGGTATAGGTAGAAATTCGTCACAGATGTCGGTTCGAGACCTACCAAGGGTCCGATGAAATGCGCACTGCTGATGATTCCCGAAAGGATGAAACGCGCGTACAGTGCTTTTCCGGGCGTGTGGCGGCTGTCAGAGTCTAGATGTGACGAATTTCTACCTATAGCATTCAACTCCCCCTACTACTCTTCTGTAATCAGTACACAGAACAAACTGCTTATAATGCCATAAGATAATTGGCGGCTTAAGTTTGGTAAGCTCGTCGCTTGGTGAGGGGGCTACCCTGTCCTCTGCACGGCAGTAACGTGTAAGTCAGTGGATAGTGAGCGGCGCTATATCACATCTAGTAACTTATTCATGATGGTCGTTGCCGTCCCTCGTAGCTCAGTGGTTGCAAGCACGGACTGGCAACAGTCGAGTTGTGGGTTCGAGCCCTACCAAGGGTCCGATGGAATGCGCATTGCTGATGATTCCCGGGCGTGTGGCGGCTGTCTGAGTGAGTCTAGACGTGACGAATTTTAACCCATACCATTCAACTCCCCCTACTACTCTTCTGTAAACAAATAAGAATGTAATATTTTTCAAGAATGACAGTTGCAAATACAAAAAACGGTGTGTCAAAGCGTTGTGATACGCATCGCCATGAAAGCTAAGTAGTCTGGTGGTAAATTGGTCAGAAGATTACTGCGTAAAAATCCAGTATCTGAGGTCATGAAATCCGAAAGGTTTCATTTTATGTACAGTCTATGTGGTCAAAACGACAGCAGATAGTCTAGTTTAGGGGCAGCCGCCGTGTGTCATGTATTTCGACACACTATCTGAATTGTGACAACGGTTGACTATGAAGTCAACCTGTGGTGCTACTCCGATCATTGAGACCGAATCTGATGTGGATACGTTCAGTGTGGCTCTCTTTATCGCTGCACACCACGACGCGTTTAGTTCTTGTTCGGACACAGCAGGTACGGACAATCTGAAGAGTCCAACCAAGGATGAAACGCGTCGCGGAGGCTAGCGATGGGAGAGCAACAGATACACTCCAAAACAACAGTTGTTTACCTCTAAGTGAAGGGCGGAGCACGTTCGAACTGTCGTTATCCAGACTGCAAAGCAGCCAGGTCAAAGATTAAAAACATTTTCAGTAGCAGAACGTAACATGTTTCTTTAGATAAGACTATAAAAGAGCATGCCAAAACTAGTTGTAGAGACGGTGCACGCGAACACACGGAGAAAAACACAATGGATTTGCGTAGGAGAATTTCGGGATATCCAAAGAGACACAGGGTTAAATACAGAACCGTAAAAAGGCAGTTACATGCAGTGTAACGATACCTGGATGAGAACAAGAAATTTAAATTAAAAGCATCGATGCAGGGGAACAGTGGCTACGAATCCAGAGACCATCAGTGAGGAAGTTTCTGTCCCTAAAGTGACGCAAAATGAATGGAATACAGTATATGGAGCCGACAAAGGTGTGTTTAGAAAGTTTAGTCCAGAATCTACCTAAGAGGTTCCATGGTCTCCATCCGAACTGAAGATGTAATACAGAAAACAGTAAACAAAAGCACTATCTGCACGGTCCCCTCCATCATCCACAAATAGTCACAGTCGCACGTGAATTCCATGAGTATTGCCCCACGGCTCACTGTGAATCGCTACTTGGCATGATGAAACATTTGAACAAAGCGTTACTCAACAATAAGAAACCCAAACCGATTGTTTCAACACTTGCCACAACCTCTGAATGATTATCGAACACAGTCAAAGGTATCAAACATACAGAACTTACATAGACGAGCGAAGCGACGTGCTAGCGTTCCACAAGGCATTTGCCGTTGTCGTTCGATTTCTAGCAGATCGACATGCAGGAGACAGCAATCGACAAGAAATGCGATTCGTAAAACGGATGACATCGCGTCACTCAAGCTCAGCCCGTTGACCGAGTCGAGGGCTCCGATATCGCCCTGTGTAAAGATACGGAAGCGATACGCATTTACAGCATGCAAAATTGCGCAAGATGCGACGTTGTTGAATCCGAAGAATGTAGCATAGAAAACAAAAGAAGGACCGAGCCAACTGAAATCGTAAAATACTCACACAGTGCATAAGCGGTGCGTGCAGAGAGACAGGCAGTGTTGAGTGAGTACGATGGGGATAGGCTAGTGAAATGGCTGGGACTTGAAAAGCACCAACTAGCGGTGTTGTATTGAGCGATATTAGCATGGCAACCATGGCACACCGCGCCGCGCAGTACACACACCAACAGGGATCGCATTTGGTCACACTAAAACATCCTATAAAGTAGGAGAAAGAAATGATTCAGAGGGATTTTACACTTCGTCTAGATGACAGCCAGCGTCGCAGGGCTCCATAGACATGGCATAACACGGAGACAGTGGGAGGAAATGTGTGTCACACGAGATTATGTGTGTATCATGTGAATATTTGCTCAGTGTGAGATCGGCGTGTGTTAGTTGGCCCTAGTCTGCCGGGAGCCGATATTTATCAGTGTACTAATTGGTTGGAAATGGCGTCAGAGCCTGAGCATTGAGCAACGCATACTAGCTTTTCACTCTGGATACACCACTTAATGGGACAATTATGTGCTACATACTACATACAGGAGCAAGAGGACAAATGAGTTCTCAACCTCCCGCTCCGACGTTTCCTCCCCTATGCTATCCAAATAAAGTAGGGCTCTGTACATCCGTGTGACAGCATTTTCAGTAGTGCTCTCATTTCCGCTTTTTACCCCGGCCGGTGGAAGTTTGGTATAATGGCGTGCACGCTGTAATCCAAAAGACACCGGTGTAAATAGGTGCATGTGGGTCTGACCCTGCAGTATCTTAGACCCGAGCGCAGATGGTAGTGGTCGCATGTCTGTCACCGACGACCTTGATCGAGGTGGACATCAGCCTGCAGCTGTTAACCATGTGAACATTTAGCTTGTTAAATATTCCCAATCTCTGACAATCATTGAAAAATCTATCGTGAAAGTGCAAACGTAGCTAAGATGGCTTGTTCGAACAGTTGTGGTGCTCGATCCGCCTGAGACAGGGTGAACTGTTTGTGGATGCGGCTTATCGCAGCCCGCGAAGTCGATGCATGGATTGGTTGCCGCAAGCCAGAAACTACATGAGTTGGCCCCGGTACCTGCTTATGGGTGATTTGAACTTCCCTCGAATACAGTGGCCTGAGGTTCAACTTCTCCCCGGGCACTGTGAAGTCGAGGTTCAGTTTGCAGAGATGGTATTTGAAACCGTTGCAGCACATGTCTGACTACCGACGAGCGTTACACCGCATTACGCTCCATCGTGCCTGGACCTACTACTAGCGAGTTTCAAGCAACGTGTAGATGCAATTCAGGTCCTGGAGCCTCTGGCAGCTAGTGACAACTGCATGGTGTTAGCCAACCTAGAGCTGCTGCTGTCCTACTCGCGTCGGCCGGAGCCGACCTGAAATAATTGGAAGACCGACTTCAAGGGTCGAAATCAAACTGCCAGTGAAGTAGACTAGTCACTGCTGTAGGATTCATCTGTTGAAGCCTGTTGGTCTGTTATAAGAGGGTGTGCGATCGTTGTGCGCTCGTTACGTATCACTCAAGGTTCTAAAAGCTGGACTAGTGAAGCCACATTGGTTCGACAGAGAATATAGTCAACTGGCTCGACGGCGACGCGAATTGTGGAATAAATTCCTCATGTCTGGCTCTGCCGAAGATTATGAGGCGTACAAAAGGCAGTGGAATCTATGCAACAGCGCAAAAGCGTCGGCAGTACGAAGAGGAGTTGGAAACCTCATCGAAGACGGCTGCAAGAATTTTTTCGCCTACGTGAAGCGGCGTCTGAAGCCCGCAAGTGACAGGCGTGTTAGAGGGCACTGATGGACAGCCTCTGATCTCCAGCACTGAACGTGCGTCCTCATTGGCGGAGCACTTCGCCTTAGTATTTACAAGTAAGCTTGCGCCTATGCTGAACTCGACGTGTGCAGCCCTACTGAACTCTAGGGCTTGAAGTGCAGTGTAGATGTCCGAAGTCTAGTCACCAGTCTTGATGGCACAAAACCTGCCGGGCCTGATGGACTTCATCCGATTATCTTAAAGTGCTTATCGGCCATCATCTCGCATGCCGTGATGGATGCGTTCAAGTGATCGCTGTCGGAGGGTGTATTGCCGAGCGATTGGAGATGCTCGGTAGTGAAGCCGATTCAAAAAGATGGTGACCCACGCAATGTGGGCAGTTAATGGCCGATTTGTCTCCCCTATGTTTCGGCGAAGGTGCTCGGGAAGATTGTGAAAAAGAGTCTTCTCCAGCTGCTTGAGTCGAAAGATCTAACACCCGCACAGCACGGCTTCATGAAGGGCCGCTCGTGCATCACCAACCTGCTGTTGACGCCGCAGGAATAGTTGCAGGCGTTGACTCGGGGGAAGTCTGTGGATATCATCGAGATTGATTGTAGTAAAGCTTTCGATAAAGTGAACCATGAGGTCCTGCTTCACAAGCTGAGGATGTGTGATGTTTGTGGCGCACTGCACCAGTGGATCAGTGACTTCCCTATTGGGAGAAGATGGCAGGTTCATGTGGATGAACACCTAACGGAAAGGTACCCGTCCAATAGCGTCGTACCTCAAGGGCCTATTTTATTCCTGATCCACATCAACGAAGTATTTCAGCTTCTTCGGTCGCCCTGCGCATTATCTGCGGATGAGTATTGGTTCTCGCGGCGAGTGTGACCTCCTTCAGCAGGACCTCGACCGCCTATCCCGGTAGTCTGCAAAAGTTGACCTACCAGTCAACAAGGCCAAGTCCTCGTTTATGAGCCTGGGGAGGAATAGTAGTGGGCGTGCGTACACCCAGACCGGCCGCCAGAGGCATCCCACTAGTTCTATAATGGATCTAGGCGTACTCTCACACCGTGATCTGAAATCTGTCGACAACACGAACAGACTGTACGCAAAGTGACTATACCCGCTTTGGGCACTTAGACGCAGCTTCTGCACTCCTTCTGAATAGACTGTCACCCGTCTGTTCCCTTCTAATAATAAGACCGGTGCTCGAGTACGACTCAACCGCCTATTGTCCAATAACACTATGTGCGGTGCAAAGACTGGAAGGGGTCCAGCATGCAGCTACCCTGCTCATCCCCAGTTTAGGGGTATGTAAGAGGACCGATGTAGGGGACTAGAGCTTTATAACCTGTCATATCGTCGGCTTCGAGTTGATCTCATAATGACGCGCAGGTACTGCACCTGGGCAACTTCCCTACGTTGAAGCCGCTGCTGCACGTTCGCGCAGCAAGCAGCACATGCGGCCATTCGCACAAACTAGTTGTACCGGGTTTAAAACACATCGCTCACCTATGCTTCGAGTGTCGAAATATTGGAAGACGCTAGTCAAAACGAAATCGGTGTCGGAATTGAAGAAATTCCTTGACACCCACCTTACAGACTACAGATATAGGGAGCGTATCGCACCCGGATAAGATGTAGTGCAGCTGCGATATGATGCCACCGCGCAGGAATCAGCGACGTGATTCTGGGCAATTGCCCGAACCACCTACGAGAAACACAGATTTTCATCTCGCTCTCTATTCTCAGTATTCGGTATTTAATTGTTCGCTAAAAATAGAAGACACAATAATCATCTGCGTTCCAAAAGATGGGAGCTACACGGGTTCTAATTGGCTTGCCGAACAGCCTCATCGTGGTGCAAGCAGGGTGGTTCGGGTTTACTCCGTTCTATCGAATGCTTCATCGTCAGTGTTCCAGAAAGTGGCCGGTTTTCGTCTGGCAAGCCACAAGTCACAGATGTTCGTTGAACACCGTGACGTGGCGGATGTGACTCGCCAGTAGATAAAGTCACTCCCCTTTGATTCGCCTCGCAGTGGACCACTGTGCTTTTGTGAAACGATGCACATACAGTGCCAAAAGAAGACAGTGTATGTCCGGAAATAATGACGCTAGTACAAATTTCTAACCGAACACGGATAAACGATTAACGGACCAGACACAACTGCTGATAATTCACAAGTTAATTTTGATTTTTCGTAATTCGATAGAGTTGTACAGAAACATTTCTACTTACTCTTAAATACAGTCTCAGTCTCACTGCATCGCAGTAGATTGCTGCTGAAATCGTGGAGAGGATTGGACCCTTATTTGGCAACCGATCAAACAGAAGGCGTAAGAAGTGAACAACCGGGCACAGGCTTCCAATGGGTTAGATTCATTGATCTGCGGCATTGCGGGTAGGCTAATCGGTAAAAGACTCGGAGTGGGGTCCCTTAAATCAAATCATTAATTCGACTTGAGCAACAGTAGAATCTGAAAATCTTCACTGTTCTCCTCACAAAACAGCTCGAAACTACGATCCTGCAGAGGGTGCGAATTGATATAGTTGACTACTATTATAAGTTGACAGGGAATCGCTTAAGCGCCCTCCCAAATTTTAGGCCAGTAGATGCTCTCGCTGTATCACACAGTGAATCGAATGAACAGAAAAGCGAAAATCTTTCGGATAGGCATTAGGTCCTTTATCTCTTTCGACCATTGCGGCAGCACCAACTGTTGCATTGGAATGGAGTATTCAGTCAGACAGGCATTGACTGTCTCAGATATATGGTGGCCTTTGTATGAGTTTTAATTGCCCTGGCAAACATAATCTCTTCCACTGATTCCTTGTCATTGAATAATTGGACATACGCCGCGAAAAGGGCGTTGTTGTCAGATAAATAGATCCATCTAACTGTAACGAACATTTTCTGGACTGCACTAAAGTAAGGTACTTGCTACGTCCTGAGCCATTTCAGCTATTCGATTCGAAGTAGTTGGGTTGCTGAAGTGCTTCTTGGGGGATATATACACATCAGGTCAGATAGTAGTACTGATACCGAAGGCAAGGTAATAATTACTCCAACATTATGTGGACTGCGGTTTTTGGCAATCAACTTGCTGAGTTAATAAGACGTCCGTCCGCCAATTTTTGCCCTCTCAGAAACTATTGAATTTATAGTTGGTCTACTTTAGATAATAGCCCGAAATTTTCCGAACAACCCCACAAACTTTTCGCCTTCGTTCTTATGAGCACATTTTAAGTGATATTTCAGTTTACATGGTCTCAAACTTTCATTTGAAAGAGTATATTGGCAAATCAAACACATAGGTAGAGAGGGATTTTGAGATGAGGCGAGAAATCCAAATGACAGATATTCCACAGAGTACTGCCGACATTACTTGTTTGCCGAGGAGCTCGTTACTGAAATATATCACTGTAAATTGTTAATATGTAATCTATATATACTGTTTAAATTTTAATTTCCTTACTCAGTTACATCATGGGGATTAAATAACATCATTTGACAAGGCGAAACACGTGGGTAGTGTGAATGATTGGTGGCACTAAATCTATTCGTACGTGACCATGAGATTATAAGCTAAGACACTTGGTAAGTGTTGTGGGACGCGACAGCAATCAAAAACGAAGTATCAGTGGCGGCCAGCAGAACCATTTATTGTCAGAGGCCTCACATTATTTCACCGGTTAGCCTCTTTGGCTGCGTTTCCTTTTTTCTGTTTCACTGGCTCTTTGTTGCTCTGTCGCTGAATTGTGTCTCGATGTCGCCTGTGTACTATGGTTGGTATCAGTGGTCGTATTTTCTCGGTTCATTGTTCTTCGGCTGGTACGCGGACGGTCCGTCGTTAATAGTGATTTCGCGTCGCCAGTTCTTACCCATCGTTTAGCTGACCAATCTGTACTTCCGGCTTTCGGATACATGTAACGTGCTATAGGCATGTTTGCCGCGCTGCATTAGTGGTTTTATTTTACGTGATTGATCATCATCCAGTCGCGTGAGGTTTCCTCGCTCGGGTGAATCTGCTGTGTTCCACGATCCGCGGTTAACCTGTCGGGCAGACCACACGCGGCCAATTTCCCAAGCCCCATTAAACAGTGTTGGCTTCCTTTCACGTGATCGGTTACCGATGCATCGTGGTGATTCAAAGCCCAATCGCGTGAGGTTTCCTTGCTCAGGCGGATCTGCTACGTTCCATGATCCGCGGTTAGACTGTCGGGCCGACCAGGCTCGTCCGTTTGCTCAAATCTCTAAGCCCACTAAGCATACTTGTAACATTTGTTGATAGCTATAACGTTAAAATCTAAAAGTGTAGAAACACTGTTAAAGCCGTTTCTGAGGATACCGTGGATAGCTAACGTGACTGTAGAAAACCTCTTGAGAAAAGCGGATAAAGAAAAGAAGTAGAACTAAGAAAATCACAACGATCACTGGACACATATGCGTTGCGGGAAAGTTGTGGCAAACAGTGGTAACAGGTAAAATGTAGGGCAGAAGAGAGAAACATGGAAGAAAATGCCGGATGGTCCAAGAAACCGGCAAGAGGGATTCAACAACGAAAGTAATGACATACGTCGGGTAGTGCCAAACATGGCGCCTAATGCGTGCTGAGTGGTGGGAGTAGTAAACTTTACACATTATGTGTACTCACCAGCAAATGCCAGCAAATGGTTCGGCGGCAGTGTTCCAGGACGTGGTGGGTTTTCGCCTGGCAAGCGTTCTCCCTATAAAAAGCCACATATGTCCGTTTAACAACACTGTGACGTGGCGGATGTGACTCGCCACTAAATAAAGTCACTGCCCCTTGCTTCAACCTGGCGAAGCATTGTATTCCAGCAGCCTTATGCTGTACTTCTGGGGAGCATTGGGCCCCTGTTTGACAAAGGAGCAAACGAAAGGCGTATGAACTGAGCAATCAGTCACCGGCTCCCAATGGGCGCGATTCCCTGAATTCGCTCCGCTGCCTTGCGGGCAGGCTATTCAGCCAAAGGCTCGGGGTGGTGTCCCCTAAGTCAACACCCTACTTCGGCTTGGGCAACCGGGTAGTATCTCGCCCTCTGAGGAAACCATGGACATTGTTGTGTTGTGTTTTATTGTACCGTTTCTGTACTTTCGTTTGAATCCCATGGTTTCTGATGGCATTATGTCTGTTAGCAGACTTTTGCAAATATATATATATATATATATACTCACCAAAAAGCGGATGTTCACACGTATGATGTAAGTTGACAAAACTGCTCGCTAATCTGAAAACATTCAGCTGAACTGAATGCTGAGAAAGCGTTATAACGCGTCTTAGCTGCTTCGACTCAGTCAGAATGAACGAAAATGCTTCAGATAGTACCCCAAGCGCGTATAGTAGCCACTCGAATTCGGAACGTTGCGGGCTAACGAGACGTAGCTGCCAGACGTACACGCGAACCGAAACTGGAGACGAAAAACGCGTAATCTCGCGCTACCGCATTGAGACCCGAACAAGAAAACTGACCGACACAGGGGTTGTCACACAGTGGTAGTGTCCTGTGGAAAACTCGTCTGGTGTCCGTGTGGCCTTGTGCGGTTATTAACACAGCGTTCTGACGAGGGTTCACTAGGATCACTGCAGCTGGCACAGTAGATGCATGTGTCTTGAGTAAAGCTCGGTTGGTTCACTGTGAAAGCTACGCAACATAAAGTCTATCCAGTCTGATTTTAAGACGTTCGTAAGCAGCTACTTGCGCGCGTGTAATTCATTTCACGGAAAGGTAGTTAGCAGAATAGATTAGCGCGCGGAGAGAAACTATTAGAAATATTTAAAATGGATTTTGTCCTTTGTGTCATCACAACGCACTTTTTACGGCATGGCCTCTTAGAAAATTTTCTCGTCCCAGGGCCCCCGGGAATTCGTTATAACCCGCAGGGGGGCATATGGCTCCCGTTGAGAATGGCTGGCCTAGATGCAGTGACAAACAGCATAGAAAGTCAAGCTGAAGTATCTCAAAACTAGAAAAATTGCACAATAACGACTAGGAAATGCACCAAGACTTAAACGAAATAATCACTACTTAATTTTAAACTTTTTTAAAGTCCCAGATCGACTAGAACGCCCCTCGGATCTTTGCTACGGTATGGGTCATGCATTTGCCGTTTGTATGCCGAGATCATTTAAGTGTTTAAGAAAGACTGTGTTAAGATTTTGGTCAACGAATATAATCCTTCGTTTTCTCAACGCCTTCGATATCGTTGTGTCCTTGATTCGTGCTAATTTGCCCTTTTTCAACAAAATCGATTTCACACTGGAAAACCCAAGTCGCAAGGGTAAGTGGGAAAGTTAATCCATGCATGGAGTGCGTAACTCTCAAAACCGAATAAGCAGCGACGAAATGGAACAATGTACGTAAGTATAATAAACACAAACATCAAGCGATTACACCTGTGTTCAGAAATGAATAGGGAGTGTGGGTTATTGTGCACGGGCATCACTTAGAATTTATCCGTTTTAGGCGCGGTCCAAATGAGAAAATTGCCCAAGATCTACTTCAAGGTGAATCATGCTTCAGACGGAGATTCCGTGCCGCAATCCATTTACACAGTGAATATTTGAAAACGACGCTTCCAACCAGGCATCAGCTGTTGTGACAAGCGTTGCCCACTGCAACTCGGTTCTGACTCACATCGAGTTGGCCTCGGGTTCGAGCGCCTTCTATGCATAGTTGATGAGATCAAACAATGTTGAAACGCGTAGTGCAGTGCAGTGTTTTCGGGCGAGTAAGCCCTACTTTCCGTTTACTTTAATTAAGGTTCTATGGGTCAACTCGACTAAGACTCGCATAAAAGCGAATCGTGTTTCCCATCGAGATGGCGCCGCGTCGCAATCCATTCAAACAACGAGTACACGGAAATGCCTGTACAGGCAATAATGGACTGCTGTGACAAGTGTTACCCGACGTGGACTCGGTGGCTTACTGGGTAGACGGCTCGGTGATATCCCAGCGGAGCCGGGTTCGAGGCAGGCTATTTCTATCTGATCGGAAGGCGCAGTGGAGTGCGATGTTTTCGGGTTGGCAACAACCAATTTCAATATGATCCCAGTGAGCGAACTGGTTCATTTCGCCAGGAATCGCGGTCCACATTGAGAATGCGTGCCGCGATCCAATCACGCAACGATTGCTTTAATATGAACCCCACTATAAGTCACTGACCGATGTGAGAAGCGTTAGTCGCTGCGGCTTGGTGGCTTACGGGGCCGAGGGCTCATTGACATCTTATCGGTCCCGGGTTCCATGCACAGTGCTGTGTCCTGAGATGATGTGTGAAACAGAGTGAAAACCTGTTACAGAGTGACGTATTGTGCGGTGGAAGCATGCGGTAATCATATGTCTACCGATGCATATAGTTAACAGTACGTGATACGCTACAGGATAAGTACAGCTCCGGTTATTAGGTGAAGAGCGTGAAGATCGCTTTGTGTGGCACGGAAACGGTCGGGGAAAAGGTGTCAAAAACCAAATGTGGAATTACCGGGAACCAGTACAAGTTTTGTTTAGCCCATGACGCAATTTACTTGGTGGTGAGTGCTTAGCCCGAAACGCCACGGTTTCAAATGAGGAAAAAATTGAAGTTAGAGTGACTCAAGCAGCGATGCTTGACCGAACTCGACTGCAAAGCAGTGTGAGGGCAAAGATTTACGCACAGTAGCAACTCAGTTATGGGAGAAAGTAGTGCACACACACACATTGGATACTGACAAGAAACCTTTCGGTAATTGCACACATACCGATGGCGAGGTGGCGGCAGCCAGTAGGGGGAGCAGTCCGCCGCTACCGCATACAAGCACGTCGGTACAATCGGACAATAGGTTCACCAAGTTAATAAGAAACACGCAGTTTGCCGGATCTTGCAACATGTTGACTGCAGTGTTCTCCGACGAATCCACCTGGGGTTCCGTGGCGTCTAAAGAGACTCCAATCAGTTGCCCCACCAGTGGGGTCACATTACCCTGATCACGGACAAAGCCGTGTTTCTCGGAACGTATGGAGATGATCGTGTCGCCATAGTGATGTGGAACGCTTCGCATCGAAACGAAGCTAAAATAAATCACATGAAGGATTGTTAGTGATGAGAAAGAGAGGAAAGAGTGGTGGATATAGAAAAGCTATGGGGAGGAAATGCAAATGAATTGAAGCATAAATTGTGGCGAATCCGTGTGTCAAATTACCGAAGTGAAGGACTCTTAGGATTCCGAGAAAAAAAGACAGGTGAGGTCAGACTGGGCAGAGCGTTTCCTACAAGCAAGCGCTGCCAGTAAGCAGGTAAAGTATTTAAGGTAAGGTAATTAATGAGCATATAGGTCCTCATACAATCAATTTGGGTCGTCCACTCCCTAGATAAAGCATTTTTATAAACAGAGACTAGTCACTATAAATGAACAACGTGGGCATTGCGGAGGAGCGTCTTGGAAACCACAAAGAGCATCGGTAGCGAGATGGATGCGTTCATTCCTTACAAAAGCGACAAAGCTAAAATACACCGTTCACGAGAAACTGCCCTGTAAAGTCCGATTTGTAACCTATTTCATGTACGCAGGTTACAGCAGCCCGTTTCCACGCCGAAAACCTCAGCATGAGCTCGGACCAATCCGGCTGCAGGCTTAACGCCTAGCCAATGTGTCATCGAGACTTCTCTTTTGATTTGGGAAGCGGCTACATCGTGATCAGAGTAGCTCTAATGGTTATCCGTACAGTCGGCAGATACACAAGAAGAGTGACCTTTTAGTAGAACCCAAAACAGAGGTGTTCCCAAAGGTGTAGGTGCGGTTGAAGTAAGCCAAGTCGAGAAGTGGATGAAACTAGAGAACTGAAGCAACTGCTCGACTTGGCTCAAAGTGTACTTCAAAGCAATAAAGATGACAAATGACTGACAGAATCGGCCATTGTTAGTCAACTAACAGTCCATAATGTCAGTTTATGTTGGTGAGGAAGGACACAGAATAGTGGGATAGATAGGTCAAACAGAACTCCATTTGAGAGGGTGACCTAAGCCTGAGTCTAGGTACAAGGAAACGAGAAGCAATACGCATATATTGTCCTTGCCTTAGAAACCGCTACTCTAACTCGGTGGTCAAGTACCAAAAATTTCGTCCACTTCGAAAATCAAGGTTGTGTGATGGTCTAAACGAAGTTGACTTCCACGAAGGTTTTCGCGAGTAGTTGAACATTCGGTGTACGGCCTCTCACGTTATTTTTCACTGTACACAAGTGTTGAAGTTCACGTGTAGGTTAAACGAACAATTAGAAGACGGCCAGAAACAACAGTGTTTGGTTGGCTCATTAAAAAGAACATCAAGTATTTCATAAAAAAGGATGTGAGCGCAAATGCAACGCGCCGGTGCGTGATTTTGGTTTGGGAACATGCAGGGGAAATGGAAGTGTCGGAGAGAAAAGTAAGGAGCTGTATGTATGTGTGTGTGTAGGCAACGAAGATAACAAGATCGAACAGATCGTCAGATATAAGTCTGCGTGGAAATATGGAGGGCCGTCCCAGAGGGGAAAATAAGTGATAAATACTAACTGTGAACATCTATAAGCTCTTCATTAGACGCGCCTTAACGTTAAAAGGAACATAGTACCATTGTTGATGGGATGATTAAAGAACTATGGAGAGCCCGATTTGTCAGCAACCACTTGTATACAATTACTCGCTCGTGTTGAAGTAAGAAAAATAGCTCACTGACAACACCATGGCCAGCTTAGGGACAAAAAGGTTCGGCCATCAAGGGTGAGTAGTTGATAGGATACACACTCACCCTAACTCATCTTCAATTGAGCACAGTAAGTCGTCCAAAAGAATTTGATGCAGGTACGACCATCGAAAAATTCTCGGCGAACGCGTTGGAGGAAGACCATCAGAAGAAGGTGGGTCATAAAGTGGTGCAAGGGAATGCTTATCTTCTAAAAGAAGAGAAGATGCAAAAGAAGCGGTAAAGCAGACACAAAATTGTGTCGCGTTTCAGAAACGCTATTATCACGTAAAGTCGTTGGCGGAGCAGCGATGAGTCTCTACTGGAAATATACGGTGGCGTAGAGAAATGGCAGAAATTATGTAACCAAGAAAGTCGTAAACACGTAGACCACTACAAGCTGACGTAAATTGCACGAAAAACAAAAAAACCGGTTTAGGTGGAATATAGTAGCATTTAGGCTATGGTATAGGTACAGGGCAGTTTCGTACATGGAAGTTTCGGCTACATTTGTGAGATCAAGGACAAAAAACATGAGCATAAAAAATAACAGAGATGAGTATAGTGTTCGTTCCCCAAGAGAGTCTGAAAGTAGACGAAATCCGTTTGAGTTCAGTCACCATTCGTGGATAAATATCAAGAGATTGACCCAAAGGACAACCGAAGAAATAGGCTCGTTCCAACAGGATATTGCAAACGGATAAGGCGAATGAAACATGGGGATAAAACTGACCTCGATAGACCCAGGGATGATCAAAAATGCAACCACTTAGTCCCGAAGATGTTTCAATTTAAAATGTTTCCACTTAAATGACGGAGAATGTCAAAAACCCTCACCTGTTGAATCGTTGCTTGTAAGTGACACGCGTTCAACGGAACTCGTGACAGCCGCGCCCATAACATCAGATTCCGTCGACAAACAGGGAGCAGAAGTAGGCACCGCAGAGGTTGCCACATCATCAATAATTCCTACGGTGCGAATTTCTGTTAGATCAAAGCCGACATCCGTTGGACTGGCGCTCGGCCTGTTGTGAGACTTAACGTCGGCAGAGGTACATGGTTTATCACTGTGGACCTGAACAGGAGAAAGAGACGAAAAACACAGGGTAAGAACGGAAGACCGTGGAGAAGTCAAATACAAAACTAATGATTACAGAAAGCTGCGGAACATTGAATCGCCGAAGTGGGTGTAAAAGGCGGGTGATTTGAGGCGTACGTTGCTGAACACCACAGAGCGAATAGGACACGAACGAAATGCGGAGTATCAAAAAGACCCAAGGTGATAAAACGCTCCGCTTTAACATTTTGGTTTCAACCTGATGGAGATGAAACATGGACCATGAATTCAGTAGGTGAAAAAAGCGTGCGTGACGTAAGTTTGAACTCATAGTTCCGATCAATTGAATGAGTTAGAGTGCACAACGATCAATATTTCAGCTCAAAATAGACGCCAACGTTTGGTCCCTAGCAGAGCGAAAAGCGGATGCTGATCAAAGTGCGGTAGTAGATCCAAAGGACAGGGTGAACAATGGTCAGCTGTATGGGCGAAACCAGATCAATAACAGAAAGCAAAAAGAAATGAATATGGAGTTTTAGAGCACCTGCCGTGTGTCTTGGATTGCGACACGCAATCTTAATTGTGGTCTCGGTTGACATTGAAATCAGCCACTGCCAATACGATCACTGGGACTGTCACCGAAGTGGAGTGTTTCGGTGTGCCTCCCTCACATCGTTGCACTTCACGGCCGCCGAGTTTCGCGGACCTCAGTGACTTAGTGATCACGGCGAAAGCCGCCCACTAAAATGTCGAGAGTTGAAAACCCAGATCAGGCTATTTCTACCTGACGAACCCAAATCATGACGAAACCAGTCAGTCGCGGAGTGCAGTTATGGCAGAAAGCAACATCGAAACCTTCTAAAAAGCCTACGGATAAGTTGGTATACAAAAACGCGCTACACTACTTGACACTGCTAAGACACAGTACGTAGAGCATGTATTAATGATAATAATAAGAATAAAAATAATAAGAATAATAATAACACGTATATTTCTTCCGATCCGAGAAACTGTCTGTATCGGCACAGAGCAATATGTAAAAAAGAAAACATGCTCTTGCATGGGGATATGCATGTGTGCAATATTAAGGCATGTGATTCATGCAATAGCGTTTTATGACATGGTTGAGGCAGAAGCTAAGGTTTGGAAACATTCGGTGTCTACATGTTTTAGGGTCTCATTGGAGAAGTTTTCCCCCTTGAATGTAGTCATTATGATATTCAGATAAAGGGAACTGGAAAGTGTGCTACTAAATGTTGCCACATTATCACGTGAGCTGTGTGATTGGCGGTTTATTCCACATGTAGCCATATCTGACCAGGAGCGCATGCTTGTTCCAGTCGTTGTTGCAAAGTGCTCGAATTAAGCTATGTTGCAGTTCTAGCGTAGACAGCAGAGTACGTTTTCGTCTAACAAGTCGCGAAGCAGTACTAGGTTATGCTTCAATCGTCGAATCCAAAGTGATTCAAGTTACAGTTCGTTACAACGCTCTCGATAATCCACGGTACAGTGCATACTAAGCATAGGTTTAGTAAATGTCCTCTGCATGTGTACCAAAGCAATGTGGTTGCTCTTGCTAATTACCGTATGCTACAGTGCTCGAAGATTGAGCAACGGAGTATATAGTAAAAAAAATTCAACTCTAGCATCGGTCGTGCGCTACTTGGCATTGGAAAGGTGGCATGAAACGCTTTTGAGTCTCTTGTTGAGCTGAAAGTGTATTTTCACCCAGGTAAAATCCTGGAGCACCGCACAGAGGCTGCAGATGTGACATAAAAGCTATTCGAACCATTGGCGCAACGCAACGGGAAGAAAAGAGAAAACCCAGAGCTTTGTAATCTGACGTCGTCAAAACACTAGATTAGAATTGTATTAAAAAGGCAACCTGAAAACGTGTGCGACGGTGCAGCGATGAACAGATCAGGTGTAGAATTGCGTTTTCAGAGGAAAAATACACCAGCAAGGGCAAAACACACGAGTACCAGTATTGAAAGTAAAAGGTGGTTAGAAAACCCTAAGTGATGCGGGTAACGAAGAGAAAAGGTCACGCGAGCCTGTATTCGCCGTCAACTGTAGACTTGATTTGAGCCTACAGACGCGCGCAGTTAAAGATGAATAGGATAAAAATAACAGAGAAAGATGAATGCACAGTTTGAGTTACAACAGGTTGTCGTTTCCATGCGGTGCGATTATTTTTGGGATGGGCACCGAGGTCTCGTGAAGGCTGCGGAGTGCAGAAAGTAGATGTGGTCACTCAGGTTAGAGGTACAAATAGGTGGGGAAGTGTAAACTGTTCTTCCAGTGCACATGAAATTCAGAGTCACTAATCACAAGAAATATGGAAAACGAGATCACCGTAACCATTCTGCATTGTGCACAGTATAACAAGGTTACACGGTGCAAAAGTATATAGCTTTATAACGCCTTATCTGGTGGGGTCGACATAGCAGACAAGGGAATACACGCTGCTGTCAAACGCTCCATTAGTTCCCCTACGCGCTTCTCTCTTATACCAATCTACATCTCAGTACTAACCGTCTTCCTGTAGTTCCCGGTGTAAAAGACGACAGCTGCGTTACTCACCAAATGTAGCCATGTACTCCTTCCACAGGAGGGGCTGGGCTCCTAGTAATGCCTCAAATATCTCGATACCAGGTTTCCTTGGAGACCGTCGAGGTTCGTATTAGAAGACTGATAGAACAACAGACTACAACTGTATTTTCGTTGGATAATTCTAAGCGTTGATGTGCGACGCGCCTCAACAATTGGAATCCAGGACTCGCGCGGTTGGCAAACTGACTACACATTGAATACACTTCCATTAATGCCTGAACGTATCCGTGGAGACTGATACTACGATCAAAGATCCATGGACTGGGTTCACAATGGTTAGGTGGATTCTTGTGAACAAGTGTCTGTGTAGAGTGCGTTTGATGCCACTCAAGGAGAGAACGTTTTTGTGGCAAGGCGCTGTTACACGTGCTCTAGAGAAGCCATTCTCAACGGGGGTCATATGGCCACAGAGAATTCTCGGGGGCCCTGGAATGAGAAGTTTTCTAAAGGGGGCCATTGGGGGGTCCACAAGATCAAAATTCATTTAAAAATGTTCTGATAGCTTCTCCCCGCGCGCTAATCTCCTCTGGAAACTACCGGTCAGTGAAATGAATTACGTGTGCGTAATTGGCTGTTTAGGAAGGTGTGAAAGCCAGACCGGGCAGACTTTCTGTTGCGGAGTTGGCATAGCTCCGCCAATCTTGCGCAGATTTCGCTGGGCTCACCACCAAACAGACAATCAACATAGGGCGACTCAGGCTGCGCATCTAACAACGGATTCGTTCTCAGGTTTTCGTTGCCTATCCACTATGAACCAACAGAGCTTCACTAAAGACATTAATGCATCTCAATTGCAAGCTGCAGTGAGCCTAGCGAACTCTTGTCAGAATACTTCAGCAGTTACCACACAAAGCGACACGGACAATGAATTTTCCTCAGGATAATACCACTGTGTGACAACTCATGTGTCGGTCAGTTTTCGCGTTCGGGTCTCAGAACGGTAGCGTTAGGTGACGCGTTTTTCATCTCAACTCTCAGCTCGCGTGTACGTCTGGCGGCTAGGTACCATTAGCCAGCAAGGTTCCGAATTCGAGTGGCTACTATGCGCGCTTGGGGTACTATATCTGAAGTTCGTTCGCCCCGTCTGAGTAGAGCAACTAGGACGTGTTATAGCGATTTTTAACACTTAGTTCAGCTGATATTTTCAAAGTAGCGAGCAGTTTTGTCAGGTCACATCATACGTGTGGAGATGCGGTTTCTTTGGTGAGTATAATATAATGTTACGTAAGAATACTTCTCTTGATACTGATAAATATCGAGTGCTTTGACATCACACATTGTGCACAATGATTGGCGAAAGCCAATGTACGTTAGTAGTTTCGTTGTTGACTCTCCTATGTCAGTTTATAGAACTATCGGGTGTTTTCTTCCTTGTTTGCCTCTTCTGCCTTCCATTTTGCTTGTGGGCACTGTGTGCTCCAATTTCCTGTAATGAATTTGTGTCCAGTGAGCATTGTAATTTATCAGTTCTATTTGTTTTCCTCACTGGCTTTTGTCAAGAAGTTTTCTTCAGTCATTTTAGCTATCCACGGTATTTTCACAAGCATCCTCAGAAACCACCTTCGGGTTGCCTCTAAGTGTTTCTACACGTTTACATGTTAACATTGCAGCCACCACCAGATGTTACAAGTATGCTAGCCAAATGATTTGTCTTATAATCTCACAGTCAAGCAAGAATAAATTTAATGTCATCAATGATTCATACTACCTGTGTGCTTCATCTCGGTGGATGATGTTATTTAATACACGTGATATAAAAAATAGAACCGAAGCAACATTATTGTTCATCATTTATCGACAATTTACAATGACACATTTCAAAAATAAGTTCCACGGCCAAGAAGAAGTGTCGGTAGTACTCTGTGTAATAACTGACTTTTGGATTTATCGCATTACCTCAAAAGCCCAATCACCTATGTTTCATTGGTCAAAACAATCTTTTAAATGAAAGTATGCAACCACGTAAGCTGAAAAATCATTTAATAAGTGTTCATAAGGAGGAAAGTGGAAAGTCTGTGGATTTTTTCAGGAAGCTGCGTGATACTTGCGAAAAAAGCAACTTTAAAGATGATGCACGCTGACATGGCAAAAAATGGCGAATGGAGTAAGATGTCTTGTAAAATCATCAAGTTGATTGCCAAAAATTGCAGTCCACCTAATGTTGGAGATAAGATTATCCCACCTCCAGTAGTAGTAATACTGCCTGACCTGATGAATATGAATTGACACGAAGGAGTTCAAGCCATTCCGCTCAGCAATTCGATTGCATCTGGGCGGACAGATGAAAAGGCTCATGACATAGAAAGCACTTCTGTTACTTTAATGCAACCCAGAAAAATTTTGTTAAAATTAGATGAATCTACACTTTACCTGAACACGACGCTGCTCTCGAGATATATGCCCGATATTTCGATGATAGTGAATTAGTGGAAGAGATGCTGTTTGCCAGGAGAATATAAATTTATACGAAGGATCAGACTATAATTGAGGTAGTCAATAAATAACAGAGTGTAAACTACATCTCAATACAGAACACATTTGCATGTGCAACAGATAGTGTTGTCGCAATGGTCGGAGAACAAAAAGGATTTATTGCTCATCTAAAAATTTACACCCATCGCTTCATACAATTCACTGTGTGATTCATCAAGAGCACCTAGTGACTAAAAACTTGGGAGGGCGCTTAAACGATTCATTGTCAACTGTTATAATAGTAATCAACAATATCAAATTGCAACATCTTCAAGATAGTAGTTTCAAGCTGTTTTGTGAGGAGAACAGTGAAGATTTCCAGGTTCTACTGTTGCACATAGAAGTTAGATGGCTCTCCAAGGGCAAATGTCTTCGCCGTTGTGTTTCCCTCTGGGACATAATCATCACAGTCCTTTCTGGAAGTGATTATGAAAGAAACCTGTTATCAGCTAAATCAGACGTCCAATATCTGGCTGATGTTTTACAAAAATAACAAACTAACTAAAACCCTTAAAGGCAAATTGAGTAATTGCGTCACAAGCAAAGAAGCCATTGTCGCTTTTCTTATAAAGCTGAAATTGTATTCTCAAAACATGGGATGTCGTGAATTGTCACAACTCACAATTCCCGTTAGTGTCAAGGAGGAGCTAAAAAATGAAGAGTTGATTTTTAATGCCAGTCATTTACAACGACTTCGAAAAGTAATGAAAGACAGGTTTCATGACCTGAATGACATGGAAATCCCGATTTTGATTTTAGACCCATTTGATGAACAGTCATGCAATGTTGTAATTAAAATCCAAAAAAGTCTCACAGAGCTTCAAAGTGGCACACTAACAAGATCCAACTTCAGGCAATATAAAAGGGATTTTTGGATAACGACTGATAATCCAGACTGTGGGAAATATCTGAAAGATGTTTCATTGCTTTTCTATCTACATACTTGATTGAATGTGGATTCAGCAGTGGTTTCTCGAACCAAAAGTAGGAAAAGATTAGACAACACAGCAAGAGGAGATCTCCGACTCACGATGTCAAGTCGGGAGCCGGACATAAGCAAGCTTGCTCAAGGACATCAGGCTGAAAGCTCGCATTAATATCTCGACAAAGGTGAGATTCATTACAGTAAAAAGCAAACAATAATTAAATACAACGTTAAATAATATGACATGTGCAATTACAGGCAAGTGGCTTGAGGTTGCCGCACAATGAATGATATCTTGAGGCTTTGATAGCAAAAAATAGGTTTATAAGGAAAACAGCAGTGATACCAACATTAAAAATTTAGCCACCATAAAATGCTACCAAAATGACCAAAAGAAATCAGATTAACGCTGCGGATTGCTAAACTTGTGGTGATCAAGGGTGCGGGAATGAAAAATGCAAAGGTTCAAAAGGGGGCCACGGCAGGATAAAGGTTGAGAATATCTGCTCTAGATGACTGCAGTCCCAATGTTTTTGAAGACGGCTTTTGTCATTAACCTGGCACGTTGCATCTCATAGCTTTCGGCTCAGAGAGAATCCTAGTTATGGAGGACTCAAATGCGCAAACAGGTACAACCTGAGAACCTAAGGAATTCAGCTGGGAGGGACGTATGGGCATAGTTCTAGGCACATGGACAATGATGAACAGCCACTACAGGCATGTGCATCAGACATGAGCATCAATGTGCCGATTCGTCTATTCTGGATGAGAGAATAGACGATGGACACAGACGGAACACATGGATGCCAGCACCAGCCGTTGCATCCATGACTACCGATTGTTTTGATAGGGATGATAATAATAGAGTTTGCAGCCGTTATTCCTTAAAATCTGCCGGTAAACGTGCGAATAGTTACTCCAGTTGACATATGAAAACGCATCACTAAACAAAAACAGGGACGCTCATTAGGAACCTCGCGCATTGATGCTTTGTCACAGTGTTCTGATGACATGCAGTTTCGGGGGAATAAGTGACCGACGCTGACATGTATAACGCAGCAGTTTGTTTGCGATATCATCAGCTTCTCAGTGCACGGAGCAATACTTGGTAGGGCTGAAAAATCGTTACCAGGCGAGCAACCAGGACCGAAACAAAACAAACCCTGCGTGCTGACAACAGCGGCTGATTGTGTGTGTGTGTGTGTGTGTGTGTGTGTAAACGGTGCACCAAAGCAGAATGTCGCTGCATCAAAACCAACGACAAGTGTGACGCCGTGAAAGCGTACCAACTCACCGACAAAGAGTCAAAGTCTGACAGCAATGTTCCGTCCAACCACAAGCATACCAGAGCCATAGTGTCGAGCCACACACGCCATCCATCACGTTCGTAGCGAATAGCGTGGAAAACCAAGCATCGGAGAAGCCTCAACACAGAGGCCAAGACGTTGGCTTCGTACTCAGTGGTGGGGTAGCATGGAGACAAGCGCAGAATGTAACTTTGCCACACAGAGAGCTGCAGCAAAGATCTGCGGTCGAAAGGGGTGGTAGAAAGAGGTACATAAAGAACAAGTAGAGCAATTCATTGTATGAAGCGCTGCTCGTAGACCTCAGTTGTTTGGTGACAAAACGTTAACATTTAACCCCTCTGTGTCGGGCTCCACTCTCTAGACGGAGAAGAAAGACATCATCAAGAAGCCTAAACGATGCGCCGACAGTGTGCTACAACGCAAGCGCCACCAGTCGCGGGTGGACTAAAGATGCTGCGAGGGTCAAGTCAAGTCACAATATGCATTAACTACCTATATGAGTGCATCTTCAGCACTTTATGCGTAACATTGTGGAAAATAACAATTGACAGCAATAAACGAAAAGTTTAAACTTCAACCAAGCATACGGTCGTGAAACTGGTGTTTCATTCCCGATGGGTCTATCAGTAAACGCGATAAATAGAGAGGGATGGAGTTTCGATAATATGAAGTAGATATACTGCCGGCTAGGACAGTACGAGAGTAGAGTAACAAGTTTCCGGATGCACAAAAAGTTGTTTTATTGTTTATAAAAAATAAGCATTATAATTTCTCGAAGTACTCTTCACTAGCGTCCACGCACAGCTCCATTTGCTCGAGCCATTTAGAGAAGCAGCTAGATAATGCCGAAGCGAGTAACCTTTCAGTAGCTCCATAAAAACTTCTGGAGGCTAGTATCATGTGTTTGACATTAAGGAACAAAATAAATTCACATGGACCCAGGTCTGGACTGTAGGATGGGTGACCAACCTCCTGGACAGGTTCTCTAGCCAGATACTCAACGACGACACGGGACCTGTTGCATGCGTGTTATCATGGTGCAGCAAGGTCCCTCGAGCTCCAGTCTTAGGATGACGCCTGGCTACAGCTTCCAGCACTTATGAGAGATAGTGGGTGGAATACCAATCTCCGGTGACTGTGCGTTACCGTAGGAGCGGTACAGTAGCCACAAGACCGATCTTAATCACGAACACACCCAAATACAGCTTTGCCACACTGCGTTCACGCCGGAATTTCTGAGGCGGTGCCTTACCAACAGCCGTCCACTTAGCCGAGTGCTGCTTGATCTCTGGGTCGTCATCACGGAGGAACTCCCAATCATCTTGTGTTCAATGAGAACAGCTGGGGTGACTCAATCCAGCTAGTCGAGGCTCAATAAATCTTTTCACAACTCGAATATCTCAGGTAGAGTAGACGAAAAGTAGGGCTTCGAGAGCCGTTACCAAGCCTGCGTCATTGGACAATCCAGCAGCATGGTCAGGGTACGTCACAACAATTTCTGATGGAGCCAAAATACCACACCACAACATTATCTAAGCGCAACCAGTACAGAAATGACTAAATTTCAAACAACCAAGTGCTGCAGATGGGTCTTCTCCAATAAACCTTTGAGTGACTGTAATGTGATAGAATGCCTGGTTAGAGTAAAATTGGCATTGAGAATTAGAATGAGGCTTTCAGTGGCCAAAAAGATATGGCGTCTACCTTGCAACCCCGAACGTCGCTGATTTGGGCCTGGGTAGGGAATTGGGTGACTGGCGGTATCTTTAGCGCAAGCGCGACAGGTGGTGTTTACGTGACAGTGAAGTGTCGACCGAGCGTACTGGTGCGGTTCTGATTTCCTTTTTTATGCAACCCCGGTTATGTGGGAAATTATCGGTTAGGCAGTCGTAGGAGAACACTTGACGAATATCATTTCTGTTCAGTTAAAGAAGCGCGACGAATCCCGTTGCCATGACTCGTGTTTATATATATATATATATATATATATATATATATATATATATATACAACACTATACTAATTACATTACATTTGGCTGAGTGCCACAGCACATGAGAGAAAATGGACTCAAGTGGAAAACGATTGTGTGGGTAGAAGAGTCTCAGAACAAGTGCGCCATTGCGTACGGTCCTTGGCCATATACTGTAGGCGTTTGGAGTCCTTTGGCCCCCAACCCGGAAGTCGGGAACCACCAACAACAGCTAGCTTCGATATTTGCGTCTTAATGCATTGGATCCAAGTTTTACATTGCCCTCTTTTCGTCGCTTCCATCCCACGTCTTCGCTCGCAAATGGGGCACGGTATGGTAGCCGCTGGGTAGGCATGCGGATTACATGCCCAAAGCATCGAAGCCTAGACAGAGAAATGATGCTGTCAATCGGTCGGTGGCGTTTGTCAGATTTGAAGACTCGCCGACGTACTTCCTCATTACTGATGTGATGTGGCAATCGAACACCAGCAATGCTTCGCAGGTAGAGGTGATAAAAGACAGATAGCCGATGAACATCGCTTTCGTGAACGGGCCGTCTCGTAGCCGTACAACAGAATCGCATTGTAGACTCGTCCGTTGAGAGCGAGGCTGAGGTCAAGATGAAGCCACAGGTAACAAAGGTTAGCGAAAACTATTCAAGTTTGGAGACATGCAAGAAAATCGCATCTATCAAAGCGCCAATACTAAAACAACTAAAATTTAAATGAATTTGTCGACCAATTCCAGCGGATTCTCCGAAATGATGAGAGTAGGACATGGACTTGTCCAGTCCTGTAACAGGAGCTTACATTTGGAAGAGGCAAAGGCCAAGACGAATTGGGAGGCGGACATCTCCAGTCTAAGCAGCACATGCTGGGCGGCCTGGGAGGACTCAAATCACAGCGATGTCACGAGCGTACTTTGTGCAGAAGATGGTCCCATGGAGCAGTTCAACGCCGCAGGACTACGGTTTCAAGGATCTTGTGCATGGTGAAGTTGAACATGAATGGAGGCTAGGCAGCCCTGTATAACACCGCTAGGGATACCGAAAGGGAGCGAAATGTCTTCGTATACTCGCACGCGACCAGAAGTTTGATGGTAAATGGCACGGAGAATGCTGATGCAGTTCTCAGGTACTCCCCTCTTCAGTAAGAAGTCCTAAAGAGCCCTATATCAAGAGAGTCAAATGTGGCAAGAATATCCAAGGATATGACTATGGTTGGTCGATTGAATGTATGGCGACGTTCAAGTATTTGGAGGATCTTACAGAGGTGATCGAAGCAACTGCGACCCGAGTGAAATTCAACTTGCTGTTCACGTAGGTGCTGTTTCGTACGTAACTGAGCCTGCACAAAAGTAGGGCAGAGAGCAGTTTCGATGCGACACAAATGTGATTCATGCAACAATGGTTGGAGCAAAACGTCCGGTCTCCTTCCTTGTAGAGAAGTACAACACCCGCAAATTTCCAGTCCGATGGGATGGTTTCAGTAGTCCAAATCTGAGAGCAGGACCCCCATATTTGAAGAGGTGAGGAATTTCATATGGGCCAGGTGATTTTTGGCTCATAGGAAACAGCCTCAGTTGGTGGAGGAACATCAACAGACCAGGGAGCACTGTGAATCCCGGAAGGTGGACTCGGTTGTGCTGGTGGACAGTAGAACTGATCTTCAGACGAGGGGGACGACTGTGAATAAGTTCGTCGTCATTATCACGTAAAACCTCACTGTTAGTTTTCTGACCGATGGATGGCATCAGTGGCGTTTGTGCTGTGAGTTTGTTTGCCTCTCACTCTACCTTTTAGTCACCTGCTCCAAACACGAGCTGTTAGGTGCGGTCTGCTGTTGATAGCAGATACAATCGCAGTTCGGCTAAATAACCCATAACTTATGTGCACAGACGAATATTGTACAGGCCATCTGTATACCCTGACTACAGAATAACAGGAGTGATCATATCTATCCCACCATTTTTCCCGACTCCATACAGGTCGGGCAGATCACCTAGTCATATTGATGAGAAAATTTGATTTATCGACGCCTATAGCTCATGTGTTCATGTTGATGCAAATATAGTTATTCCTGTATTAGGTCGATGATGACCCACTAAAAAATAAGCTTGTTCGCTACATTCCACTTATAAAAAGAAAAACAAAGCATATTTGTCCCGCCTAGACTTTTCCATCTAGTTTTACCACTACGTAATGGAACTGTATTGCGGCGCAATGACGGGAGTGTTTATCATCCGTGACTCGCAGGTGTGATAACGGAATCGGAGACCTATGACAGATGTAGAAGATTCATGCGAAATGTTGAACCAATCCAAGTATTGCACAGCAGCGCATGTTTCGTATGGTTTTTCGGACCGAGGTGGAGATTGATCAATGAAGTGTGCACGGCAAAGAAGGGCTGTCACCGCAGGATGAATGTCTACTATGGAAACCTTATCAACGTGACCAACAATGCATCTCAAATTGAACGTATGGTGAGTAGTCAGTTCACATGGAAAAATAAGCCTACTAAGCTGAGTAACCCAGGTCCACCAGGTTCACGGAACCTCAGCACGAAGTCGTATGGAATAAACAAGGAACCAAGTAGACAGGACAAGCTGAAATCAGCTATTTCGCACATTCTCGTTAGCCGTTTACATAGAGTTCGCGAAAGGGCTGGTTTGTTAGATGAGCTGTATTCTGAGCATTGGAATTACTTTGTAAACGTTTCATCACCAGTCGTGGTGACATTATCAGTGCGTTAGTGAGTAGTGTGGTGCATAGTGATGGGTAAGCAAGTGTGAACCCGGTAGTCACTCGTGTGTCTCTTTATAGGTCATCGTTATCAGACGAATGGGCATGTGGACTTTGAAAATGACCTCTTCCACCCATGCACCGAGATCATGGCTCGTTTGTCTCCGCAACTGGTAGTGTTGCCTGAGCTACTTGTATATTGTCCTTTTCCATTAAGGTTCGCATATAGAGACAATCAAGTAGTAATGGGTCTTCCGTAAATCAATGGCGATCAGAGTTCATCTGGCGCTGCACGGTATACCGCCTAGAGGAATGTGGTCATCGGTCTCAGCAAAGCAAAGCAAAACCTGTTAACGACTTGCTCTGTTTACAGCCGTCTAGTTGTGGAAGTCTCAGTAGATTGATCCGGGCGGTCACGACCAGTTGGGCTGAAAATATTTTACTGGAATATAAAATCACAAGGAGAGGAAAACAGCAGTAGGCCGGCACCCTGTATTGATGCTTGGTTGCTAATCGACCATCAACAGCCGAGAAGTTGCTCGCACCAGCGCAAAGTTCCGGATTACAAGGCACGCATGTAATCATTTCAAATTACTGAGAATATCCGTTGATGTGGATTTTAAGTCGTTCCCCGAGCTGAGTGATTTTTTCGAAAACGTTTCGTTACCACATCGCAACATTATACGTACGACTTCAGGGAGCTGGTTCGCAGTGCCTCGTATGCGACTTGGAAACCCAAGTGCTTATTTATCGAGTTCTGTTTTGAATGTCAGGCTTTGATGAACACATGTGCGACCACTAGACTGGGTACTACCGCAGTTTAACGGTTTACCTAAAATAACTAAAACGGAGTGTCTCTTCCCCCAATCGTGTCGTTACCTGGAGCACCAAAGTAGACTTGGGAAATAGCTCTGAAAACGACTAAACCTAGATCAATATACTCGAGCAAGTTGGCAGAAACATTCCTAGAGAAACTTAAAACCACAACTAGAGAAAGGGAGGAAATAATGGTTGTTTTGATGTAACCGCATTGTTCACATGCAGCAACATCAACTTAGCGAATCAAACAATGCCCCCCCTGCTAGAGGAACACACATCGCCTGATACAAGCAGTAAACTCAACGCTAGACAGCTGGTGGAGTTGCTGCAATTCTGCCTAACAACATAGTTCATTTTCAGTGACCAAAATGACGAATAGATAAGAGGCACACCAATGGGACTGCCAATCTCCGGTTTGGTAGCCGAGGCAGTGATGCAGGAGCTGGAACAAACAGCACTTCCAAAAGCGAGAGCAAAACATTGGGTACGATATGTAGATGACATCTTCGTCACAGTGTGTTGGATGGTATCTAATTAACCAGGGAGGAGGAGAACAACAAGCAGTTACCCTTCTTAGACGTTCTCATACCAAGGACTGATGCCGGACGACTGGAAACGGCAGTCTATCAAAAAACAACGCATACGGACCAGATCCTCAAGGACGGCAGCACTTATCCAGCTGCTCACAAAAGCAGCTGCGCGCGAACCCTTTTCAAACGAGCACAAAGACACTGTAGCACACCGCAGCTGAGGCGGGGGGAGGAAGACGATCTCCTCAGTCCGCACAAGCGGAACTCGTACCCAAGAGGCTTCATCCTACACAGCCTGGCTCTATAACACATCACAACAAATGCCACAGTTGAAAAGAGAGCCACGTTGCCTTATATCAAATTTGCATACTAACCAACGGAGATAGTTCGTAGCAAACTCTTTAAAGTGAAAGATAAACTTAGCAAAGAGGAAGAAACTGGTGTGATTTATAAAGTCCGCTGCCACAACTGTGACAAATACTACGTAGGAGAGAGTGGAAGAAAGCTTCGCACAAAGCTAGACGAAACAGTTTAGCCATCCGAGGCCACGATCAACACTCAGGGAGGTCCGCATATATGGATGCGGAGAACGACCAATTCGACCTGGAGTATGCCATCTACGGAACAGCCAAAAGCCGGCAAGCAGTGAGTTCAATGAACGCTGGCATTCGAAACAGAACTCGAGCAATAAGCACTTCGATCTAGACGTCGTTTACGTAGCTGTGCGAACCAGACCGCTGAAGCCGCACTGATGATGTTGCTTATTCTGGCAAGAAAACATGTAAGATAATCACTCAGCGCAGAGAAAAGATCAAAATCCACCAACATGTAATAAGTTCGGTTATCGGTCGAACATCACGAGATGAGCAATGATAAGTAGGATGCCGTTGACAAGCGATGGTACAATATTCTGACCCAAACTAACCTTCGATTTCCACCATTGCCGAGACACAAAGACAACAAATGTCGGAGGAAAAGCTGCTTGACGAGCAACGACTCGGGAGTGGGTTTCGAGCGGCACAGTAATGTCGATATCACGGGGACTATACCTAGAAAGTAGAGGGAAAAGGAAGACTGCATTATAAGGCAAGGACTTTGACCAGGTGCGACAGCATGGATTAAAAAGGGGCAGCAGAAGGAATAGAACAGTGCATCGGATAACCAAAATAAATTGCAAAATTCGGGGAGTTTTGGACGGAGGAAACGACAGATCAAACAGGTGATGATAGATCGCATCCACAAGTTAAGATAAGCTCGACAGTGGGTCATCAACACTTGTGTTCGTAATAGGTAAAGTAGTCACAGATGCACGCGAAAACCAGCGGAATTGATGGATTAAGGACCCAAGCAATTGCTGCACTTTAACATAAAGCAAAGTAATGCCATAAGGACAAGATAGTCGTCAAAATCGGTACAGAGAGAGAGAGAGTCCAAAATCGAATGAAACCAAATATACGTCAAATGTTAAACAAGAACCCGTATGATTGTTAACAGGAACGTGTCATTCCTGGTTGAAAGCATCACAGTGGGCAGCACGGCGGTTAGAAGACGCTTGAGACCACGTAGGTGCAAACTGCTGTAGCCTTAAGGATCACAAGCCTGCGTTGTAAACCGGGGACGCGAGTTCGAGCTTGCGTAGGGACCGG